ACACACACACACACACACACACACACACACACACACACACACACACAGCACTGGGAGATGATGTGCTGCTGCTTCCCTTCAAGGTCTCCATCTTTAGCCTTAGCACCCGGGGAAAGAGAGGCTAAGTGGTGAGGTTTTGTTGCCGAGTGCAGCGCGGGACCATTTCTCATGTTGTCAGAGCTCCCGCTGGGCCTCACGTATGCCTGCAGCTCTCAGCATCCAGAAGCCTTCACTCCAGCAGGCGGGCCAATCAAACCCATGCTGTCACTTCAGTGAAATTACTTGAACTGTCACTCACACACAAGCCCCCCGCCCCCCAAGGCCAGAAAGGGACACATACAAACATACAAACGCTGTACGTGCAAAAGCACAAAAACACTCTGGTCCTTGTCATGACATTGTCTCGTTTCAGGTGGTTTGACTACAACAATGCCCTCCACCACTATACAAAGAACATACAAGTGTGTGTGTGAAAACTAAAAAAGGGATCTCATGAATATCTATGGAGATCAGGGAAAACTAGCACTGAATAGGTCATGTTTCGCCAGCTTCATTAACTCGTGACCTCTGCTCTTTTCTGACCTTTGACCTGTCTGAAAGGCGCCGGCAAGTCCATGTAGACAGGTCTAATTATTGTCTCTGCATCAGTCCACCCACTCACCCTGCTCTCCAAGCCCTTCTGAATAAAATTCACACAAAAGAAGCTTTAACACTCAAACACATTCAGCTTCACATAGATGTTGTACCAGTGACAGTGGAGTTTGGTAAAGAGATAAAGCAAAGTCCAGCAACTCATTCAGGGTATTTCCCCATTTTCAGGGATAAAACACAGACACAAAAATAATCGAATAAATTCAATACAAACGTGGAACGCTGTTCCATATTTAAACGAAAACTACATCAACCTAGCATTTCACCCCTGTAACCTATAGTCGGATTGGCAAAATCGATGAAGCAGAAGCAGAGATGTTGCCTTTTTTTATTCCACACTTATCAAAACCTGCCGCCTAAACGAGATAAGGAGCGGGCGATAGAGATCTGGAAAGCTAACTTCTCTTTAACTTCACACCCCAAAAATTTCTTTCATTTTCATACTTGGGCGAAATGCATTCGATTTTTGTTGTGCAGCTTCCTCTTTTGTGCAGGCTTCATGCAACTTTGTTCCCATGTGCAGACCTGTAAACATTGCTTTGGTGTGTAGGATCGGTGGAGTTCCACTTTAACAAAATACAATCATACAGAAAGAAATCCATCAGAGAGTCAGATATCGTTATTTTTCCACAACAACCTCAAAAGACAATGTGCTTCTATAAGACACTTAATATGAGTATTGAAGGCTAGACTCTCGCTCGAATACCAGCACTTAATCATGAAACAACTCCTGGAAATTCACTGAGCATCAGAGGTTGATGATATGCAACATTGTGAGAGCTTCTATGAATGGAATCCTCCTTTACAACTCACATCACCTCCTGGACTGATCTCTACAGGGAGAGATAAACCAAGATCAAGAACAGTGACTACAGCAGGACTTTAAAAAAATTGAGTTTTGGAGCGATAACACGTCCCACTGTTCCTGTTCCCTGCAAGCAATGGCTGACTGGCACATTAAAGTGAAAAAGAGCCACACGCATGCATCGACAACTGCATAAAAGTGGAATAGAACCTTACACCAGTGGGACAGCATATAAAATGCAGTGAGATGAGAAACAATAAGTATGAAATAATATATTATACAGTTAGTGGTAGTTGGAGACATTCCTCTCACTCTCACAGGAGTCTTTACTGAGATGACAGACTAATAGGAGCAGAGCTAATGAAAAATAAAAAAGTCAGTGTGGCTACATATTTGTCATTTGAGGTGAGGTGTTTGCTGAGCTAATAGAGCAGTGGGTTATTTGTCTCTGCTGTGTGTGTGTGTGTGTGTGTGTGTGTGTGTGTGTGTGTTTGAGTGAGAGAGAGAAGGTTGAAATGGGTTGAGCAGGAGCAGGAGCTGGAGAGCTGCCACCTTCATCCCTCTGGCTCACGAGGGATGAACAAAGAGACGGGAGGCTCAGGAGATCCATCCATCATAATGTCTCATTGCCTCTCACACTTTGCTTTTGCCTGCATGTGCACAGACACAGACACACACACACACACACACACACACAGGCCCAGCTGCTTTAACCCGAGAGACCACTCGAGGAAGAGCGTGTTCGTCTGAGATGCCGATGGTGCAGATGTGGAGTTGGTGGGAAGTGGAGCAAAACCCTCAGTGCAACAGTGCGGCCTTTTAATTAACTCCCTCATTTACACCCCCCCCCCCCCCCACCTGCACAACCACTTCAAACAGACGTGCTATTGCTGCCCACTGCTTGAGAACCCCTCCAGCCTCTACACATTTAAGCTGGAAGGGCAAGGGCAAGCGGACACAGACGCCTCAAGGTCGAGAACTGCCTGTTTGGTCTATACGTATGCTATCATTACGCTCGTCTTTCTCTAAGAAACAACACTGCTTTTCATTGCCGTTGTACTTATTTTCATCAATCTCTCACAGCCCTGCTTTCAGGATGTGCCCAGCCCCCTACGGTCTCGGACTGTAACCCTAACCCCCTGTAATTAGTCCTGACTCGGGACCCTGTTTAGCAGAGATTAACCCCGTCTCCCATGCATTCCCAACCACCCCCCTCCACACACACACACACACATACACACACACACATCAGATCCTGCAGATAAAAAAGGGGGTGGAAGAGGAAGCATGGCACCCACTCCCAGAGGGACAGGCCTATAATCAGCCCTCCCACAGCCCCACAACCTGTCTCCTGCCTGGGGAGGCGGCGGGGGGTCACGGACGGATGGGTAAAGTGAGACAAGGTTGATCCCCCACCACCAGCTCTTTTTCCTCCTCAAGTCAATACTGAATAGGAACGGAGCCCTGTCTCTCAAAAGGCAACAACACGGTGAATTATCATGGCCGTCGTCGTCAAGTAACTGTTATGTGGTACTGAGAAGAAGCTGATGCAGCCACAGAGCTCCCTTGTGAGCCACCAAGTGCCTTTTAAGACGACATAATGGCCATGCTGAAATCAGCACAAGACAAAGGCCTGTTAGGGCTCCACTTGACATTAGAGCTGCACTTTTATGAGCTGACTAAAAGGGCGATAGGGAGAGCACATGAAGACAACATTTTCAGTGAAACACCTCAACACTGAAGGCTTTGGTGCCCCGCGTATACATCCACGCTCACTGGCGGAGGGATTGGGAAGTGGCGTTTGGGAGGAGTAAATATCTGGAGAAATGCTAATGTGGCATCCATTTGCATGAGTCATTGGCCCGCATGTGCTGGAGCCATTTTAAGAGCACCGATATCTCAAAGCGCCCCACAATCTCACCTATAGCCAGATCCATCACATCCAGCGGCCTGGTGTACCTGTGTGTTTTTGTCTGAGTGAGTGTATAACCATTACAAATCAGTAAGCACAACTATCAGCGTATCCCCTTAAGACCTTTGTAATAATCTCGTAATTTTCACTTTTTTTAAATACTCTTCGGTCTTCTATTTCTTTCTACGCTGAAATGTCCGAAACGGCTCAATGCTCAGAGCCCGATGACAATTGGTACATTTTGGAGGGAGAAAGAAAGAGAAGGTTAAGTAGCTCCATCCCTCAATTTAGCTCACACAGATAAATGTACACCTTCATTCTCTGATATAATCAGAGATGAGATGGAGTTCATTATGCAAACGAAGTGAAGAAGTTCTCTATTCTGGATTTACTGGGTCTTTTTTTCTCATTGTCAGCTATGCCAAATTAATCAAATCAAAAGTTTCGAATATCGTCAAGATTTTTTTACTCCACCGTTAGGAAACCTCACTACTTTAATAATAAGTCAAGGCATGTTGATCAATCTTATTAATAAAAACAAATGAACAAGTAATTGTCTGAAGTCTCTCTGTGAAATAAATAAGTGTAAAACCATTACGTTAGAAGCACGTCTTTGACTCTATATATTATCAAGAAAAGATGCAAAAATATTCCATTAAAGAAAAATCCTTTACACATCGCGCTGTTCTGTCATCCTCTGCGCATAAACTCCCATAACCCTGTTTCACACAAATCAGTTCTGATTTAACAGACAATAATTCTATCACTATCCATTTTGAGCGTAAATACAAATTTGCTGATTATTTTCTCATCGACGTAGTCGTTAAATTCCATTGAGAGCTGCAGGTGACATGCAGGTCAGATAGGCCTACTATCGGCAGTCCGGATTCTTTCCGACTTTCTCACTTTTCAGAAGAGACAAATTCAACATTCTCATTATTAATTTGCCAAATCCATATGCTCTATTTCCCAATATAAAAATAAACCTCCTGCTATAGGGGGATGAGAAGGACTAAGGAGGCTCAGGTGTCCGTAACTCCGCACCAGTCAGGACGCGCACATTTGGGTATCGGGATCTATTTCTGAGCCTCATAAAACTGGATCGATACAGATTAAATTATGCGGTGACCATTACAGTGACGTGTAAACGACTACATGACCTAAAGTATTGATACATTCCGCTCAAAATCCCATCATAAAACGACTCTTTTTGACCGCGCAGCATGAGCGCCCGATTAATTACTTCATCATCAGTATTTCTAATATTCCTGACAGCGACTTTCAGTCCGCCTGTTCCTCTTATTGATGTGTTTTAATGTCAGATACTTTATTTGGTTTAGGGTGACCGAATAAGAACATTATTACCAATAATACCGCTGCAACATTTCTATAACATCCACATGGACATCACTCGTGATATTTATGGAACCCTTCATAAATGTGTCATAGGGTTAACTATAGGCAGCGCAACCACATCATCACCGGTAAAGAGTGGAGTATTGAACACTTACCGATCAGCATCGTGCGTCCAGGACCGTATCCGAGTCTCTCCAGCTCGGCGTGTCACCGTGCGTAAAAACTGTATCAATTTTACGCACTTTTATCCCCAGAGAAAGAGGACATGCACGACGCACAGGTGCGAACCGAAAGGCGTCCAGTAGTTGTAAAGAGCCACGGAATCTATCGGAGTCGATTCAGATTGACATGTTCACCTCTCTTGACTCTGTAATGACAACTATTTCTTTGCGATACTATATCCTTTTTTCCTCCGTCTTTGGCGGCCAATCCCCGAGAAATCTCAGATCCTATTGCTGCGCGTTATCCTCAGTTAAATCCTATTGCTCGTGCTGCTGCTGCGCTTGGCCTGAAGGAGGCGAGGAATGGGTCTGTTGGAGAGGGGCTGGGTGTAATTGCCTGTTCCTTCTCTCTCTCTCTCTCTCTCTGTCTCTCTCTGAGTCCTCTCTCCTCGTCATCCCTTCCTCTCTGTAGTCTTACCTCTTTCTCCCTCCTCCTCTCAGTGGGAACCTTTTTTATCTTGACAGGAATGCACAGATGGGAAAATTAGCTGCTTTTTTCCCCACAGTCTTCATACCTTTACAACTTGGCACCACATTAGCCCTCTTGTCAAACTTACTGTCTCACAGGTCAGCACTGCAACTGATATTCAAGAGATACGTTTGCCCCGCCATGCAGTCAAAGAAGAGAGTGGGAAAAGAAAAACAACAGGTGCAGTGGGAAGCATCGAGCGGCTTCAGGTGGCAGAAGCATGATAGCAGCACTGTAAACATTAAGGGAAAGAAGAAAAGAATATTTTCTGAGACAGATTTCCATTCGTGCTCTCATAAGGATGATGTGTGTATACTTGTCAAGGTAGCTTGCATTTGTGCATGTCAGTGTGTGAGTGAGAGCGACGGGAGAGTGATGCAAGTGATGGTTTCTCACAGCCATCTCTCTTACCAGTCTGCTCCTCCTTTGTGTCTCTTCTTGTCGATGCATAATTTGGTGGAGCTGACACATATTCGGGGATTCAGAATTGGCTCGAGAGCACAGAGAGCCTGCTCGTATTAAATTTCTATTTGTTCAAACGGTGTGTGTGTGTGTGTCTGTGTGTGTGTGTGTGTGGAAGCATAGATAGTGGGTTTAAGAGCCTCGGTGCAATGCTAAGCTGCCCTGGAGCTACTCCAAAGCACATCTCCCAGGGTGCTATCAGGAACTTCATTACAGCATTAAATTGCTCCCTCTCTGCCTCTCTCCAGCTCTTAGTTCATTTCCCCTTCTTTCCCCATTTCTTCTCCTTCCTCCTCTCTCTCTCTCCTCTCCTCAAACTGTGTATCCATCTAATCGTACACTTGCCTCTCACTCTGTCTTTCTCTGCCTTTATCTCTTGCTGCTCTTTTCCCTCTTTTGCTGGTTTGGCAAAAATGCCTGCTGGTGCTGCTGTGATCATGTCATCGTTGTGGGGAAAAAGGCCTTCAAAAATGTGTCTCGATTGTTGCCGACATGCACTGTGCAACCAGAATTAATAATGATTCATCTGCCGTCTCCATTGTGCATTGGAATGTTCTAATTTCATACTTGCATAACAATAACCTACTCATTATGCTGTTTATCAGTCAGTTTGTTATTGTGTAGTGAGAGTGCTGCTCCACAGGGTTTCACACTGCAAGTGTGAAAGTGGAGCGTGGCGGCAGTGAGGGGTGGTAGAGATCAGATTGCTGATGGAGAGTTCCCTTTAAACATGAAATATTGGTCCCGACAGAGTGTTACGTGGGGTGTGAGCTACCTTTCCCCTCTGATCCAGGGTTCTGTTTCTTGCCATTCACAGAGGCAGCAATGGACCCAGAGACTCTCCCCTGGGGCAGAGTGAAGGACACTGGTGCAGCTGTCCTGCTGCCTCATGCCAACCGTCGGTCGGCTGGCTGGCACACCAGAGCCGGGGCTAATTAGAAACACGGGATTGGCTCCCAGCTTTGCATCAGTCAACCTCAGCCAAGATGATTTTATTCCAACCGATTTGTTCTATATGTTAAAAGACGGTCACTCCAGTGGAGTTGGAATACATGGGCCATATTACCTCTGCACCTTTACTAATCTACAAACCTCAAATAACATTTTTTGATGAGTAAATCATAATGCTACTGGGTTACCACAGTCTTTCTGTGACCTCAACCAAAAGCTGCTTTTGTTGCCTAAACTTAGCCACAAGTCGATGTCTCTGGTGTCAAAGTCCTGCACTTTGAAATGCCCACCGGGATCCCTATGACTCACATGCAGCGCATAAATGTCCCACTTATAATGTTGCCAGGGAACATATTCCAGGCATTATTGTAGTATAACTTCAAATTTAACTTCAAAATTTGACTTAAAATTGTGTTATTCTTATAAACGGCTAAGGCAAGATTTGCCAAGAAGGAAGAAAACTGTTAAGTAATGCCACATACAGTTCATAATGTTCACACTGTTCAGCCAGCTGAGAGACTGTGATAGTTTGACAGTCTTTAAAACTGTGTCATGGTAAAATATGCTCGCTTATTTGAAGTTGCCATGGTGCAAGTACTGTAATGCATGTCATGTCAGCCCAAAATAATCTCCAACGTGATCGTTTCTGTTCTTGAGAGTGATGGCGAATCTGCAGCTAGCGCTGGTGGACTTTGTTAAAACTAACGGTATTTACTGAGTTGCTGAGAGCACAGTACCTATGGTGACGAGGGCCAGACCCTGGGGAGTAGAGAAGGTCAAGCAGTCACACTCAACTCTTACAAAATTGTTTATTCTTGTGTTTTATGTCTGCAATCACAAACAGGATTCAATGCTGGATTTCAATACTAGAAATAACGCACAAGATTTGTGATAAATGTGACAGATGTAGAGAAACCTAGATGTCTGTTTACACCGCATATGTGATTTTGAGGATGGTGAGGGTAAGGTGGAAACTACAGAAGAGGTGAGCAGCTTGTGATTATCATGCAGTGTGTGTGTTCGCTGTTGCGTGCCTGCGCAGTCACCACGGTTGGTTGGGGGTGGATGGGCTGTGGGGTGGGGTATATGGATGGGTGGGAGAGGGCGGCGGGGAGCTGTTGGGTGCTCCGGGACAGCGTGACAGCGGGGACACGAGACCTGAGGGGAGGAAGGAAGAGGAAGCGTGGAATATGGAGATAGCTGCCGTCACCTGAGAAGATGACAGCGCCGTGCGAGACTAATGCCGTGTGACATCTTTTTAGCGGTGGCATCTGGGCATCTCTACGACATCCTCCCACCCACCTCCCCCTCCCTCTTTTGCCCACATTCTCCTCACATCCCAACTTGCTTTAGTCATTAACAGATGGCAACACATCACCAGAAGCCCTCTCTCTCTCCCTGGTGCTGATGTGAAGCTCATCTCTCTGTCTCTCAGCAGCAGCCTGATCAATACCTGTCATGGCGTGACAGCTTCCCAATGTCCACCTTTTTGTTTTCCAATATGCGGCGGAAAAAAGCAAGAGCGTGATGAAAGTGACACAGCTGTGTTTGATGAGCTTGTGCGTATGAGAGTGCGGGAATGGGGGTTGGGGAGTTGTGTGGTTCACTAAACATGCTGTTGCCACTCCCCTGGGTTTTAATGGATATTGATGCATAGCTGAAGATTATGTTTTTTTATTCTGCAGGCAAACAACATTGCACAGAATTCATCTGGACATTCACCATACATAAAACTAAATATTGAACATGTACACAGCCAGGCTTTATGAGCTTCTGCTTGTACAGGAACTTGTGACAAATGCAAATGTCTTTGGAAATGGTGTTTTTCTTTTTTTTTATCCCAACCACATGCCAGGGTGTAATGAGTGACAGGGTAATTTATGAGCCATCAAAGAGGAAAGCTCGCCCTGCCTCTTTCTCTGCTGTTCCAAGCCACCGGCCTCCTCAATTAGAGCTGGCGCTGCCAACCTGCCGCTGAGGCCCGGCTAGGTAATGACTGGCAGCAGCACACAAGGCGAACAGTCATCTATCTTTCTCCCCCGACTCTCTCGCTCTAAACTAACAATTTTCCTTTCTCGCTCTCTCAGTCCCACCCCTCTCTAAACTAACAGATTTCAGTCTCACCCCTTTCTCCCGAAACCATCAGCCCTCTCTCTCTCTCGCTCTCTTCCTCTCTCAATGTAAAGTAACATCTTTGTCTAAAAGTAAACTCTGCACATTCTTACTTCTCTTTCTCACACTTCTTTTAGAAAAGCTGACACTAAGCTGAGCTCTCACTCTCTAAATTGACATCTCTCTCCATCTATCTCCCTTTCTCTCAGTCCCTCCAGCAATTTGCTTACTTCATTGGCATATTTGTTTTTTGTTTTCCTCACTAGACCAAAACCTTCCCACACTTCTCTCACCCTCTTTCTCTGACAAACAAACAAATGAATTGAAGAGCATTGGGCGTGAACACCCTCGGAGCGTAACGGCTCGGCCGGCTGACTGACTGACAGAGAGACTAACTAACTAAGTGACAGAAAAAGACTGACAGGAGGTTGCAGGAGGACTTAGAGGGGCGACTGTGAGCAGCGAAAGTAATTTGAAGATGGGTGGACAAGAAAGACAGATGCTTAAGGGTGACAGCGTAAGATGCCCACTTATATATAACAGCACCTGAAGGCAACCCTAACAGGGTGTGTTTTAGGTGATTATGTTGTTGGTCAACTTGCACATTACTCATGTGTGCCCCTGAAAGATGTATGACTCTGTTGCAACAAGCATTGTTTCAACTGAGAAGTTGGATAGAGTTAGAGTTCGCCTTACCCTTGTGTTTTGTTGAGATTGAGTTTTCGTCCTCATCGTTTGGGGTCCCACACACCCCACTGCCATATGTGCAAAAAGGATCAAAATAATTGCAAAAATATATATTTTTTCCTTTGCCTATTTTTTTTTTCTCTTCTTCTGACCTTTTTTAAAACCCAATATGTAGAAAAGCTTTGACTTGGTAACTTCCCTCTGCCACAAATGGGACACAATTGATGAAGGTGATAAAATACAGAGGTGACCATAAAGCTTCGTTATCAAATAATCAAATAGTTCATGTTTTCTATGTGGTCTCTGTATGTATCGTTCAAATATGTTTGGCTTTTGCTTGACAAAAAGAAACATACAGTATGTTAAACATAGTGACATTGTGTAGGTTTTATGTCAATTGGACCCCAAGAGAAACTCTCTCGAAACAAATCGTTTAAAATGTTTAACAAATCATTTGTTATTGATTCATAAATAAGAAACAGTCCATTGGTAAGAACAACATTTGGTTGTGAAAAACCCAGTTGTCCTCCGCCATTATTTTATTCACCACTACTTATCTGCTGTAAAGGAGCTGCAGAGCACATTAACAAGTTATTAATGCAACATTTACAACGCAGGAATACACCCTCCTCCTTTGTCTTTTCAGATAGTTGTAATAATCC